ATTTAAATGTGAATTACTCTGTTAGGAATGATCTCTTTTCAAACCAGTTTCTGGTTAGCACTCATAATGAGACAAGGTAAAGGAACTGAATGGAGCTACTCCCCAAGTATACCCTCTTCTAACCTTGTCAGGAAGAGTGATGGGCCATACAGTAAAATGAGGAGGTTGGAAATGAGCTGCATTAATATTAAAGTATGACCTAGAAGAAACATATGATTAACAGTGGTTATTTCCAAATGTCAGAATGAGTGGTAATCATTTAGCATATTTTTTATTTTTTCTATATTTCCCAAATTTTTATAATGAGCAAGTTTTAAATTGAAAAGGAAAAAGAGAGATAGTTGATTACTTTTAAGTTTAAAATCCATGAGTTCATCATGAAAACTTAGGATAAAAACTAATTGATCATTGTAGCTTGGGAACCAACTCCTTATTTCATAATAGAGTTCCTTTATTCTGGTTTTTTTTTTTTTTTTTTTTTTTATGAACTATAGCATTGAGGACCTAATAGTGGATGAAAGGAAACTTATCTTTATAGAAGTATTTTGGCTAACAAATGAAGAAGGAATGATAGAAGAGTACTACTTTGTAACCCTTAATGAATTAATAGGTATAAGTTAACAGCTGCTGACATCACTAAAACAGAGACTGTCTAGCATTGCATACTTCCTTCCTATCCTTAAAATATATCGTCAGGTATGAAATGGTTTTGTTAAACAAACAAACAACCTGAGTCTGATCGAGCTTCTAGATTCAGGTACCAAATTTTAGAATTATAGAACATATATCAGACAGATAAATATGACCTCTAGGGATGGAATCAGCATAGATCATAGATCTAGATCATAAGAAAGCTACAAGCAAATAACTTAGATTCTTCATAAATTGTAAAGGAAGAAGATTAGAGAGAACTTTGTTTAGGAAAGACTTAAAAGATACACTGAGTCTCAGTGTATGGACCTTATTTCGATTCTGATTTTTTTTTTTTTAAACTAAAAAACACTGAGTATATATTAACATTATTAAGGAATTGTTGTCCATCCTCTTAGGTGTAAAAAGGTTCCTTATCTTTTAAAGAACTATCGATCATGATGTTTTGAATTTGCTTCAGATAATATGAGAAGGGAAGAGAGAGTAGCTGGCAGTATGGTTGGGGAAATATTACCCAGATGGTTGTTGGGGTTGGGTGATGGGTACGTATACTATTCTACCTGCTTTTGTGTATGTTTGAAAAATATTCTTAATTAGCTTACTTTTAAGCTATCCAAAATAAGTTAAAAAATTTGAAAACTATATTGGGAACCTGGCTACACATTTTCTCAGCCCTTTGTATGGATGGGCATCGGTTCAGCATTGGTGATTACTCCCTAGAGTAACTTTCCCTGTCTGTGACCTGCCTGGACCGTTCCTTCCCAGTTTGTAGCCAGTAAAATCTGGCTTGTTTGTTGTCTTTTCCCTGGTTGAATGTTTTAGAGATAGTGGCATTTTTTTTGACAGAGTCCTTCTTAAGTATTGGATGTGGGAGATGTTAAATGGGGTAAGGGTAGATAGTGCTGTTTTACAGGATCACTGGTACTGTGTCTCACTTAAGCTTATGGCATGCAGAGAATGGACCTTGTGTCCTCCCCTGGAGAAAGGCTTTGGAAAGCCATCATTGACTAGGCTGGGGAGTTTGCTGGGACAACAGAAAGACAAGTACTGAAGCTTAACGGTGGGGATGGACAGTCTACATTCTCTCCACTTTATAATGTAGCTTTTCTCCACTATTCACTCTCTTTCTTAGAGGCCTTTGAAAAGGATAGGGGTTGGGAGGTAAAGGAGCAATAGATAAGAGGACAAATAGGATTTTTAGAAAATATAACATATGGTTAAGGTTACAGAAGACTTAAATATAAGAACTGAAGTAAAGTTTAAAAATTAAAATTTAAGTTAAAATAAATTGCTTATTTAAAAACAGGTATTTTATATATGAGACCAGAAATAATTTATATAAGACAGAAACAAGACTTATGATCCCAGAAAAAACAATTGAGTTTAAAAAATGATAATGTGGAAAATAGAGAATAAAAAAAATGAACCTCGTATCTAGATCTAGGTTTCTGATATCATTCTCTATTAAAATGAACTTTGGAGTTCCTTTTAGGGCTCCTTGGAGAAGTGGCTGATTTTAAGGACCGGTGCAGGAAATATACAGGTTGAGCATCTATCTAATAGTGTCTGAAAGTAAGAAAACGCTAAAAACAAAACCCTAAATCAACATCAAACAAGAACACAATAATCTGGGATCACAAAGGGACACAGGAGCCCATAGAAAGAGTTCCTAATGGCCAAAGCTGGACCAACTTGTGCAAGAAAAAAAAAAGTCATATTGGTTTATAACCCAAGGTATAAAATAAATATCCATGTATTCATGCTGATATAAATGAATGATATAACAAGTAAGTGAGAGAGACAAATCTACCATGCAGCATAATTCCAAATAATTTTTGTGTCTGCTCAGCATGGAGCATAATTTTTGTGTCTGCGCAGCATGGACTGCACATAGTGACCTTCACCCAAAGAGTGCAATATGCAAAGGGGAGAAAGAGTAACTTCACAGTAGAGAATTCAACAGCCCTTAAGCCAGGCAATCAAGGTCGGTTTATAATAAATAAAATTAAAAGTTTATTATAAAAGTAAATGAAATTTTGAAAAAGAAAGCTCAAACTTGCTTAGAAGAGATTTAAAATGTATAGCAACTGAGAAGTAGAATTACTATAAAGCAAACCGCAGTGTCAAGAAAAACTAAAATGACTGGTGCCCCTTTTTCAAAGGTAATTAAGCTCAAATTGCAAAAAAGATTTAGCCACAGATCTCAAGGGAACTGGTAATAAGATATGCAACCATTATCCCCACACAGTTGGTTTGAGTGTCTTGAGCTGATAGTAGATAAAAGCAGCAAGTGTATGCCAATGGATTGAGGGTTTTTGCAAGCCAGGTTCACGATTGATTCCCTTTTCTGTTTTACATTTCACTTGTGAACTGGTTTCTAACTTAACTATTTGAAGAACAGAATCATTAAATGCCTTACTTTTATTATTTGATGTCCTTTAAATAAAAGTTTATCTTTACTATCAACCTTTAGAATAATCAGAATTATGATCCCAAATGGCTTTACACACCAATGACACATTCAAGGACACATAAATAATTATTGACTAAATCAGTACTTAACCTAAATGATAAAAAAACAGTGCTTTTCTTAGCTACCTTATATGGTTGATCATGGAGTGTGAGAGCTTTTCTGGAAAAAATTCCAATGCTAAACTTTATTTTCTCAGCTGGAACATTGTAAAGAAAAGGAATGGGGTGCAATGAAAGGGAACTTATATTATTATATTAAGTAGTGCCTTCCATACAGTAAGCATTTAGTAAAACTTCTTAATAAGATTTCCTTTTATTCTCATAACCTCTAATAAAACCTCTGTTATTATTTTCATTTTATAAATGGTTGCAGTTCAAAGTAGTGGACATGTACTACTCTGTTTACTAATAAAAATTTTTTAAATATTAAAATTTGTTTAAATTATTCAATTACAGTTGACATTCAATATTATAGTAGTTTCAGGTGTACAATATAGTGGTTATACATTTATATAACTTACAAAGTGATCCCCCCGATAGGTCTAGTACCCACCTGGCACCATACATAGTTATTACAATATTACTGATATATTCCCTATACTGTACTCTATATCCTCATGACCATTTTGTAACTACCAATTTGTACTTCTTAATCCCTTCCCCTTTTTCACTCAGCCTCCAAATTCTCCTCCCATCTGGCAACCATCAGTTTGTTCTCTGTATCTATGAGTTTGTTTCTGTTTTGTTTGTTCATTTATTTTGTTTTTTAGATTCCACTTATAAGTGATATCATATGGTATTTGTCTTTCTCTGTTTGACCTTTTTCACTTAGCATAATACTCTCTAGGTCCATCCATGTTGTTGCAGATGGTAAGATTTTGTTCTATTTTATGGCCAAGTAATATTCCATTGTATATTTGTACCACATCTCTATCCAATCACTTAGATTGCTTCCATATCTTGGTTATTGTCAATAATACTACAGTGAACACAGGGATGCAAATATCTTTTTGAATTAGTGTTTTGGATTTTTTTGGATAAATACCTAGAAGTGGAATTGCTGGGTCATAAGGTAGCTCTATTTTTAATTTTTTGAGGAACCTCCATATTGTTTTCCATAGTGACTACACCAGTTTGCAATTCCACCAACAAGAGTGAACAAGGATTCCTTTTCTCCACATTCTCGCCAACATGTTTTGTTTTTTGATTTATTGATGATAGCCATTCTAACAGATATGAGGCGAAACCACATTGTGGTTTTAATTTGCATTGCTCCGATAATTAGTGATGTTGAGCATCTTTTCATATGTCTATTAGCCTTCTGTATATATTCTTTGGAGAAATGTCTGTTCAGGTCCTCTGCCCACTTTTTAATCAGATTGTTTGGTTTTTTGGTGTTAAGTTGTTGAGTTTTTAATAAATTTTAGATACTAACTTTTATCGGATTTATCATTGGCAAATAAGTTCTCTCATTCAGTAGTTTGTCATTGTTTTGCTGATGGTTTCCTTTGCTGTGCAAAAGTTTTTAGTATGATGCAGTCCCATTTTATTTTTGTTTGTTTCTCTGCCCAAGGAAATATATCCAAAAAAATATTACTAAGTGGAAGTTTTGATTATGAGGTTCCCTCAGGAAGTTCCATCTCAGAGAAATAAGCTTCAGCCATGAGCTTCTTGCTTTTTGAAAGAAAACCTGGGCCTGAGAGCCTACTGACGTTCTCCATCTTTCTCTGGGCTTCACATTCTTGGCTCTTTTCCTTTACACTTCCTTTTTACACTCACCTCCCATTACACCAGTCCTTTTCAGTGGGAGAACTGTCTTAGGTTCTAATGCACATACCTGACTCTAAAAATTCAGTTCGTGTAAATCCTTAATGAGCACTGACTGTGTGTGTGACTGGCAGTATGACTGGTACTATTCAGAAGATGAAAATCAGCCTAGTTTAGTCTACTAAGTTTAATTCTCTGCCATAAATTTTTTATATTCAAAACTGCCAATAAAAATAATTAAATAAGGTTATTTCTTATTTTTAGGGGCAAATATTCTGCGAGATTCAACAGGCAATGTCAAATTAGGAGATTTTGGGGCCAGCAAACGGCTTCAAACCATCTGTCTTTCGGGTACAGGAATGAAGTCTGTCACAGGCACACCATACTGGATGAGCCCTGAAGTGATTAGTGGAGAAGGCTATGGCAGAAAAGCAGATATCTGGTAGGTTTTGATGCCGGGTTTGCCTGAAAACACCTGCCTTCTTATTTCTACCCAGGATGGAAATTACTGAGCCAGATATTAATTCTCTTTTGTAGTTTTGAAATAGGACGTTAGGATTACAAGGATTAATATCATTTTAATTATGCTCTTTGACACTTAATCATTGATTAAGTAGAGTTCTTGAACCTGTCTTCCATTGTGTAGGAAGCATTTCATCCTAAGCAAACTTCAGCATTAGAAAACTATCTTCATTTGCTTTAAAAGTAATTAATTTTGATCACTAGTCTCTTATAATTCAGTTAACCTGTAATTGCTTAATAATTTTAAGTTAGAACATAAAATGACTATTTCTTACTTCCCACCAGAAAAGTTTTTAATGGATATTCATTTTAGGCACCTAAAGGCAAAGAATTTCTAAATTACATTTAATGTCAAGTTAGAGAATTACGTAAAGCAAAAATTATAAAATGAATAATGTGCTTTGCCTAACCCTTTGAGTCAGTCCTTAAACTGCAGTTTATTTTCATGCTTAAATTGTGGTTTATTTTCCTGTTTAAATTATGGTTTTATGTAATTACAACCTTTTAATGAAACTAAATTTGAAATCAAGTCATATTTAAATGTATGTGGATTTCACTCCTGTTTCTTATTTTGTAGTTAACTGGCTTTCTTTCATGATGATATTGTTTATGTAATGCATTTTTTAAATTTCTTTTTAGGAGTGTGGGCTGTACTGTGGTAGAAATGTTAACCGAAAAGCCTCCTTGGGCGGAATTTGAAGCAATGGCTGCCATCTTTAAAATCGCCACTCAGCCAACCAATCCAAAGCTGCCACCTCATGTCTCAGACTATACTCGAGATTTCCTCAAACGGATCTTTGTAGAGGTCAAACTGAGACCTTCAGCTGATGAACTCTTAAGGCACATGTTTGTGCACTATCACTAGCAGCCAGTAACCTCTCCTGTGCCTCTACCTAGCTCCCACCTATTCATTCACCTTCTCTCTGACTGCACTTTCTTTTATATAAAAAAGAGAGATGGGGGAGAAAAAAAAGACAAGAGTGAAAGAGTTTCTCTTGATTCTTGGTTAAATTTGCCTAATAATAATAGTAACCTAAATTTTTTATATTTAATCTTTTTTTTTCCTTACAAGAACTTGAAACTTTTTTTTAAAATTTTTATAATGTACTGATGTGGTTCAGAGAGATAAAGCACTTTAGTACATAGTCACTCTTTTTAGTACAAACAAATCATTTGGAATACCTAAAGATTGTAGTCTCCCTGTGTCACTGACAGATTGGTGGTGATGGGGAGACATGGAAAACAAGGAGAAAATTATGTATAATTTGTAGTTTTTAGTGATAGTATTTAAAATAGATCCTCATTTGTGGGGTTGAGCCCTAAACTTCAGTTTAGGGTAGGTACTCAACTTAAAGAATATAGATTCCTTCCTTTATCTGTATTCTTTAGAATCCAAACCTCTGTTTACCAAGCTTTTTGCTCAGTAGGAATCTTGATAGAAAATATGAATCTCTAAGAGGTATGTTTATTTGTTAATCCTAACCAGTATAATAAGCAAATACACTATAAAAGATCCATGTTACTGGAATCTGTAAACCTTGAGGGATAGCTTTCTGTTTTTTGTTTTGTTTTGTTTTGTTTTTGTTTTTTAAGGATACTATTTTATTTTAAAACAGATATGGAAAGACAGTGAGCAAGTCCAAATTAAAAGACAAAAGGAGGTTGCTCTAATATATGAAAGAAGAGACCACATTTGCCAGTCAATAGAAATAATGCAAAGAACTAAGTACTATTTAGTATATTTTAAACTATATTCTTTACCTGAGGGAGACAGTCCCAAAATTAAGGGAAAGGAGAAGTAATCAGAATAATGCTATATCTTCCTATTTCTGGATCCCGATTCTCATAGATAACATTTTTTTAGGAACTAAGAGTTGAACCTAGAGTATCCATAAAACTAGTGTCATGAGATAAAACCCTTGTTCTTGGGATCACAAAATACTAAAGTCCCTCAAAAAATAGCTGTCATGAAAAACAGTGGTTCTCAAGAGGGGGACTGATTTCTCTTGTCATTTGGCAATTACCAGAGACATTTTTGGCTGTCACAATTGCGAGGATGCTAGTGGTATCTAGTGAGTAGAAGCCAGGGATGCTGCTAAACAAACTACAGTATACAAGGACAGCACCTCCTACCCCCAACAAATAATTATCCTGTCCCAAATGTCAAAAATGCCAAAGCTGAGAAACCCTGTTGTAAAACTAGCCCGTTATAAGCTGATAACTTGCAAAAAGTAAATTTCAGAGAGAAAGTGATATAATGCATAATGAGGGTTTTACAAGAGCAGATACCACTACTTCAAGTCAAGTAAATGATCTCAACAGCAGATAGCAATCTGATCCTTATCAGCTGCATGTTACACCCAAACCAGTAAATTCCATTTTAGAAAGAAAATGAATTTAAACATGGAGCTTATTGAACTCGGCCATTTGTATATATTCTTACCTCAAAAGTCAATTTATAATTGCAGGAAAAGAAAAGCATATCAAAACAAAGTATTAAGTACTTTATTAGAAGGTTAAAAAACTGCCAGGTATTTCTAGTGTATTGTATCCACTAAGAGCAAGGACATTAAATGGAAGAGACAGCTAGTTGAATTCCACTGTCTCTAATGGACTTGTGCTACTGAAAAACATGAATGATATCGGTAATTTGGCCACTTGCATTTTTTTTTTTTAAGTATATTAAAGCAAGTGCTAAGTAATTTATTTTAAGATCTAAAAAATAGTAATCTTCCTGGAGGCCCTAAGTGTGATGCCTTTCATGGAATTCATAGGGGGCTCAGGTATTTTCTTTTCTGCCAAACAGTATACTCCTTAGGGACTCTTTTAAAACACTGTTTCTGATGTTAGGTAGGTCTTGGTTCACAGTGCCAAGGTCCTATCTGGCATTCCTTGTAGGAAATATGAAATTCCACTATCTGGCCTGAGAAATCAATGCCCAGATATACTTGTCAAGGCTTCTCCCATACCCTTATAATCAAAGGAAGCAATTCACCAGGAAGAATAGGAATTAGTGGCCCCCTCCCCCTGGAAAATCAACTGTCAAATCTTGTGCTGTATACATAGTCCCCAAGGATATGGATCTATTATAATTTGTTTTTTATGAGTGAAAGCATCTCTTCTACTTGAGCAAGATTATAGTATCTGGACCAGTGGGCTTTTCATTTGTTTCTTTGTCTTGTGCAGTTATGATTTCCTTTTGGCCTATTTTTAGTCTGTCAGGGTAACCAGCAGTGCACAATATGAGACAGATGCTCGTTAGAGGGAAATCTTGGGAGACTATGAAACCCAAAGCAAAATTGTTTGCTTTTTTTTTAGTCTCTCTTCTTTTTAAATGCTATGGAAAATAAAATCATCTGAAAAGAAACTACTACTTTAACACTGCTGCAGAAGACCTTTGTTTTATAAGAAATATTATTAGCTATGGGAAAATATTGTTCTTTATGTAAAGACTTAAAAATAGACTAATAGTTTACAGAGTTACTATATAAAATGTGATGTGAATTTATTTCAGACAAGTTGTAATGGTACCAAAAACCACAATAAAAGTTAATATATATAAAAGCTACTAGAACAAAAAAGCTTGAAGTGGGGAGGTATGGAAGACCAAAAGTAAATTTAAAAAATAAAATTCTGAAAGAAAACACCTCTATCAGGGGAAGTTAGATATAACACTCCAATTTTTTCTTTCTAATAATGATATGGATCAACAAATGAAATTTGAACTTTTTAAGATGACTCTAAATGTGTTTTATTTTTTAAATGCACAACTGATTCTTCTATACTGTAATGTTTCTTTGCTGAGGCTGGAAAATGGCCAGACTGCTGACTTTGTGCCTTTAAAATGCATTCTGCTTTGATTGTGGCAGACTTTTTGGTGCTGGAGAAGATTCACTAGCAGTCTTACATGTGCTTTTCAGGAAATCTCTTTCTACTTAGGCCTTGAGAGATTCAAAATGGTATGATTTAAGTTGGGCCAAATATAAGATCTTTTACATTGCGAACAAAGTGTATTGAATAAAAGGGTTGAAAAATATAATGACTAATGGAAAATTTGATGGTTGATAATTATTTAAAATGTATTTAAAATATACAGACTTTGAAATTTTCAATGTGAATATTTTCAAAATTTTTCAGTTTTCCTCATTTACAAAAGCATGTTTCTGACTTGAAAAATGTTAAAGACTGTTGCCTTAGAAAGTTTTCAAAGGCATAGTCAACCTTACATATTTATACAAGATATTGAAATTCACAGGCTGAACTATAAAAAAAATTTAAACTTATTTTAGAGTAAATTGAATTGGCTTTCACTTGAGAGTCTTTATCTTATTCTCAATAGAAACTACATTAGAAAGGTGAAATTATTTATTTAGAGTAGCTTTCTGATGCTTCACTTCTTACATATGTCAGGTCTTGTCTGTAGTATTTCTGAGATGGAGTTGTTAAAACATACGTGAAGTCATTAAGAAAATAAAATTTGAATAGTTTATAGGGATGATCAAGCTTGAGTGCAAAAGCTAAGATGTTTGCCAGATACAAACCCCTTGGCCTATGGCAGAGTTCTGTGCCAATTATTTCATTTGGGTTCTCAGGACCAGTAGCTTGATATAAAATCACCTGGTGTCAATCAAGTATAGTAATATATCAATTTTAAAAAAATAGATGAATCTTTTTCATTTGCTTATTCAATAATTGTGGCTTATTGTGTCAGGTACTAAAGGGAGGTCACAGTCTAGGAGGAAACATGGGCATACCCTAACTCTGAAAGTAAAGCAATGATGTTTTAAAATATTATTTTTATAATGTAAGGGGAACGCAGTTTGGGGGTAATCATTGGCTGTTTTAAACTAAAATGTCATTAACAACAGAGATTAAAAGTATCCCCAAATTAGAGGGACCTCCGTAGATCAGGCAGCCTCTCTCTCTCAGGACTCCCTCTTACAAAATCAAGCCTCTGCTCAAACAGTTTCAGTGTTTTTTTTCCTGCTGTTTCTTTTAAAGGAAAAAATATTTTCTTTAGGTCTAAATTGTTAAACTGCCCAAACCACTTGATAGAAATTGAATTCTGTCGGTAGTGTTAGATCAGTACAATTTCTTGAGACCAGACTGTTTTATATTGTTTGACCTTTGTTACAAATATAATTAATGTTCATATTTATTTGAATTTTAAGGTTGGTTAAATGTTAACGAAAATCAATTTAATGATTAATTTTTGGTAGTGCCTTTTTCTCTCTATGCCTTAATTTTATTTTATATCAATAATAATTCAAGTTACCCACCGAAATGAAGGGTTTTTTCCAAAATCAGTAGCTTCAAGAGTTGATTTGGCCTTAGGCAGTGTATTGGCCCTTAAACATTTCTTAATGCCTGCTTCTTCCTCCTACCCTTTTCTACCTCTATTTTCTTTATGTTAGAAAACAAATGTTAGCATTAGTCTGATATAGACACACTGCAGTCTAGATGTGAACTCCTAAGATAAGGATGGAAAGAGGTATTCTAATTCAAAAGAGACATAATAAATTGTTTTCCAGGTTGATTACTTGATTTTCAATCATATTGACACTGTCTAGATCCTTTGTATATCATGGTTCAGTTATGATTTTCATAATAGAGCTAGAATGGTTGATTTTGCCCTAAAGAAGTCATGTAAATGGTTTACAGATGTTAAGGCAATGAGATTTAGGGCAATGAGCAAGAAATCCAGGGATAGCAAATTCTAACCTAACATTTTGACTAAAACTCTAGTTTTTCTGTGAAGAGTGTGTGTGTGTGTGTGTGTGTGTGTGTGTGTGTGTGTATTTGGGGCAGGGCTGGAAAGAAAGGAAAGGTATGAATGTTGAGTTAGATTAGTCTCTGTTCTTGGAAGAACAACTCAAATGTGTATGACCTACTGATGACGGATGAGGGTAATCATCCTCGGGTAGGAACGCCAGCACATTTTCCACAAGTAACTAGGACAAATGATTGTTTGATAAAGTTATTTATTGTAAATTGTCAAGCTCTTGGTTGCTGAAAGTAGATTAAAATTGAATTTGTATGTGTGTATAATAGCTTATATGTAGTCCTTACATAGAAAGTAATTTTTCTTCATGAACTCTAGAATAGAAATTCTGCCAGATGTTATCAAAACAAGCTTCCTTAGCTTACTGAGTATCCAGAAGGAACTTGTGTTGTACCTCCTTTTGGTTGGCTAGGGAAGGCACGCTGCAAAGCTGCTGTTCCTTCTTCACAGCTCTCCTTAGCTTTGCTTGGACTTCTGCCACAGAATGCCAGCCACAGTTGGTGTGGGAAGTGCCAGAGTCAGCCATTTCCTCATACTCACCTTTCAGAGCTGCAGATGGTAGTGAGCTCTCAGGGGAGTGTAGAGAATCTTCTCAGTGATAGAGCAGATGTGGTTTAGTTCCAGAAAGTTGAGGAAGGGGTCATAGCTATAGTAAAGAAAAGAATAAATTTTATCCATTGCCTGCATACAGTCTTTTATGTGATTCTTCATATTTTTCATAATTCTGCATTTTAATTGACAGTAATATGGTATCCTTGTTAATAATAGCAAAGACATTAAATCTTTTTCCTACACCTGATTACTTCTTGTTTGTATTCACAATCTGTATTATCAGAATCACTTTAAACCAAAGCTTTTATATTCCCTGCACACATAGCCAAAATGATTAGCATTGTACTTCTGCCCACCTGTAAGCTAATAGTGTAAAAATGATAAAACAAGTATTAGTAAAATTTGTATCTCAGTCTTTCCTTCAAGCGAAAGGACAGGTGCTCAGTATTTGTATGTACACATGTAGGATTTACTTCAACTATTGCGGAACTATATAGACATTACAGACTTGAGCTTATACATGTGCCAATCTTAACATCAGTTGATCATTAATGTGTGCGCGCGCACGCGCGCGCGCGCGCGTGTGTGTGTGTGTGTGTGTGTGTGTACAGACACATTGACATATGATGCCTCAGGTTTGTGGCGTACTTTCTAATGTCTTAACATTTATGAACTTGTTTTTGACCTGAGGGGCATTTCAGGAAAGCTGTGAAGAAAAGTAAATTATAGACCGACGTCTTCTTTGTGCCATAGACATTTTGGAACATAAGCAAGAGTCTGTTCTCCAGTATACATGCAGAATTTGTCCCCAAATAAGGATCTCTGAGTCTCTTAATGCCAGTTGAGAACAGCAAAATTTGTGACTATACTGAAAAGCACTTTTATGTTCATTTATTTATTTTTTTTTAGAAGTTATTTTTTAAAAACATGTGACTAGTGGTGAATTTAGCATTAGCATTACTTGGAGGGGAGAGAAAAGTAACAAAATTACATCTTAAATTCTGTTAGATCCTTAGGCTCCAAAATGGATTTGACGTATTCTCATTTTTCCAAAGATTTTTTTCCCACCTGGAATAAGAGAGGACTGGTGGAAACATTTGAGCTGTAAAGGCTTTTGGGCAAAAGAAAGTGGGCCAAACCCTTGCAATATACCCTGTACAAGTGAAAGTACAGGGTCTAAGGATAAGAATACTTCTTTAAAAACAAGTGATTGTTTTTAGATACAATCTTAATTAGTAAAAGGTTTACATTTTTTCTATTGCTGTTTTAAAATTTGCTACCCTGCATTCTGAAATATTATAAAGTTAATACCAAAAATACTTTTAATGTCTGACATCTCAACATTTCACATGGTTCTTTTTATTCAAATATCATTGTAAATAAAAGTAAACTTGGATAAATTTGGGAATAAACTTTAATTGTTACAAACTATGATTATCAATTTGTAAATTTACCCTTTGGCCTAATGTACATTTTTTTAAAGTAGCCATTAAATTCTTTATATTTAAACTATTAGTTTCTCTCTGTAAACGTTTTTAATCTTAGTTGAATGATGGGCTGTTTATAATTATGTATAAAGGTGTTTTTTTTTCCTATCAAGGTTGACTTTTTTGCACATTTTGGAAATGTTTAATTTGTACACTGATTTACTACTCTGACCAATTATCGTTGATGGATGTATGAGCATCATGAATGCGTGCATTGAACTACTGTCTGTGTCTCTACGTTTTAACTTCTTTCGAGATGTAGCCATCAGTAACTGCACTGCTATTACACTTAAATAGACCTTCTTGCTTTTACAAAGTATACTTACCTATGGTTCTATCTTTGTTGAGGAACTCAGGAGTTGAACTCAACATCACTTTCTGATTTTATATATATTCTAAAATCCATGACTGAGTTGAAAGTATGCTTGTAACTGCGTATCAGGGGATGTGTGTTGTGTATCGGGATGTGTTATGTGGAGATGTCTTGTTATGTCTGTAGGCACATGTATATATCCCAGTAATTTCTTATTTTCATTTCATTTCTACATTTTTATGAATTTATTTTGTAAGAGTACTGTTTAGTTAGAATAATTAAATATATATGAAAAAGCTTTCTGAGAGATTTATTTACTACATGAATATATTTTCAGCTGGCTGATCAAAACTTTAAAAAAAAATTTTTAACCATTTAAAATATGTTTGTATTTCCAGAATTTGGATGCAAATTTACTTAGCTATCAGTTAACATATTCTTGCAAGGAAGAGCATTGAATTCTCTTTTGAGAATTCTCTGAAATGCTGATTAAGAGGAAAAAATAAGTTTTAAGCAGTAGCAAAAACACACTGTCCACTAAATGGCCTTTGAATTCTCAGAGCTATGAAAAAAATGTGAGAAACTAAATTATCTTGAAGAGATGTCCAGATTTTTATATCTTCAGATGATGTTGGCCAGTCTTACTGTTGTTTTTGAATGTTTATTCTACCCCAAAGATTTCAACTTTAAGTTTTTTTCTTACTGGGCAAGGTCTGACCTCATTTATAAAACAATATATTCATATATTGTGATTCTCTATAATGGACTATAAATTCGTTTAGAAATGGCCAAACATACATTGTGTGTCCTTATAATGTACTGTGTATGTTAAGTAACTGATAGAAAAATAATTGGAAATTAAATTTCCAATCTGACAATGTTATTGTACTTAAGGAAAACCTTGTTTTTAATATGCGGTACCATGTAAAATTACTTGTGTTAGAAATAAAGTCCACTGTTGAAATGAATGTCACTAAGCTTATGTTACAAGGAGTTGATATGATTAGAAAAACCTACCAGAAGCCAGATGCAGTGTGATATGTGCCACATTTCATGCATATTTTGACTTTATGTTGTTCATTCATAATTGTGCTTGTAAAAATGTATAAAATTTCTGAGTTTTACAGTTTTTATGTACTTGTTTTTTCTTGCTGGTAAATAGCTTTTTAAAAACTAATGTGAAAGAAACCATGTTTATATTTTGTTAGTGATCAATGACTTTGTTTATATGGAAATTTGTATATTGTTGGCATACATCTTTGTTTAGATTTATCATGCATGAAGGCCTGCAATAATTAGCACAATGAAAATTGCTTTTTCTTACATGTTCATTTTTTGAAAGATTGTGGTGCAAAGGGTTACTCTAAGTAACCTTCTGGACTATGGAATGAAATTAAATGAATGGCACTTTGAGTGTTAATAAAGCTGATATTTATTTCCACTGTGATTGGCTTGTCCAGACCTGTTCCTGGACACAGTGTCTTTATAGTTGACCCTCCTTTGCCTGACTTGATCACTTTCTAGGAGACCAAGCACAGACCAACCTAGAAACATTGCAGCTAAACCTTTTCAGGAGGTAAGTCTATAATGTCCTACCCAACATGCCTGACATATCTTCTTCTGGTTTGATTACCCAAATCAGAAATTAACTGATTAAAAACAAGCAAAACAAAACCTACTGTCAAAGTGTAAGGAATGAAGTTCCCACAGTATTGGAGATCATTTAAATTAATACTTTCATATATATAGAGGCCAACTTAGCAATGCAAGTTAAAAGCCTCAGAATCTTATATATTTTCTGACCCAGCAATTCTATAACTAGGAATTAATTCTGTGGAAATGACTGCAGTTGTGCTAAGACATAGCTATAAAAGCCCAAAATTGAGGTTCTATATGTCCAACAGTAGGGGCTATTGTAACAAAGTACCATGAACATGGTGGCTTATAACAACAGGAATTTATTGTCAGCTCTGGAGACTACAAGTCCGAAATCAAGGTGTCAGCACAGCCATGCTTCCTCTGAATTATTTGCTTTTTCTCTAACTTCTGGTGTCCCCAGGTGTACCTTTGCTCAT